CTACGGTGCTAAACCGCAGACAAGCCGTATCGGATCGCCCGATGATTCGCGAATCAATGTGCCCAGCTGGGTGGCCGAAAACATACGCCCGCTTATACCCCAGGCACAAGCAGAACTAACCCATCACTCTCCTGTCCCGGGTATCCAGGTCCCCGTCTAAACTTGGACTCCAAGCCCCCACTCCTAAGTCCCGGACTCAGTGTGGTGCAAGGACCTCCACCATCTCCGCCTCCAATCAGTCGGTTCGGAAAGAGCCGAATCCGCGACAAGAGAACAAGTCTTTCCTACACCCATACTAAGTATGCGCTCGGGAAAATAAATCTGTGACTTGCCTAGAGTCATATGCAACGACCGGTCCTTAATCGACACAGACAGGAAAAAAGTGTAACCGAGCTATGCCCTGTTGGCCGTAGGACAACCCCTCACACCCACCAGTACCCAAACCATATCCTTGCCCGGTCACCATTTTTCTTTCCACTATTTTATCATGAGTGGTCATATTTTATTTTCTATTTACGAGTAACGGCAGGTTACTCACGCTACTAATATCCTAAGCATAGCAGCTACTCGACCTGTACTAGTAGGACTCATGGGTAGATATATTTATGTATGTAGTTTCCATAAAATGCCTGTAACTGAAATGCACATCACATATATATATTCAGTGATCATTAAAATAGGGGTTATGCACCGGGGCTTGTCTTGGGCAGGCGACGGGTCAGTAAGGTCAGCACCAACAGGCTCCTGGGCTCCCTCCTGCACGAGGATCTCCTCCTCGTACTCCTCGATCACCTCGTCGTACTCCTGTTCGTCGACAGGCACAAATTCTACTAGCTCGTTATCTACATGAAATGACACTACAATGTTTAATAATATGACAACGGAATTTTTTAAAATAAAAGTACATCGATTTACTACTAAGCTAGTGATACCGACCACAGTGCTAAGCTTTCTATTGTTACCGATAAGTTGAGGTATGACATTCATTATTATTATAACAACTTATTCTTACTCCTAATGCTGATTTACGCTAAATACGATAAAGCGGGTAATAGCTACGTTATTTAGCAACTCCTTCTAAGGCTACAAAATTTACAGCCAGTACCTGATAACCTAGTGAACCTACTGTACAATGTTTATGTCTATAGCTATTACCAATTGCCCACAAATATTCCTGCAAATATTAATCTACATAATATTTACCCACTAGTTTGGAATTTATGACCCAATACTTGCGGCAACTAACTGCAATCAACTTGTACTAACAAATAAACGGTATTTTTGTGAACCTAACAAAATTAGTCTTGCTATTTTTGGACCACTACACAATTTACTACAAATTCTTAAAGTTCAGCTTGAAAACTAATTTGCATAAGCAGTTCTATTTTACTGGAAATTAAGAAAACGAATTCTAACTCGCGGCCCAACTCGCGCGGCTCGACCCACAACGGCATGGCGCGCGCGCCAGCGAAGCGCGGCCTAGCCGGCCAACGGCCCGCGACAGGAGAGACCCACGCGCGGTGGCAAACATGCAAAAACGTCCCCGAACTACTCGGTATTTACTACGAGCTCTAAGGCACTATTCCTCTAGTCTACGATTTTACAAGTACGCCCTCCCCTTTCTTCTTCTTCGCCGCGACGACATCCCCGGCACCTGTGCACGCACCGGCTCGACGGCGCGGGCACCGGGCGGCCACGCTGGCGTCACCCGACCCTCCATGTCCTATCTAAGGGACCGATGGTTACCTCGACGACAACGCGCAGCGACTGGAGGCGATACGGCGAACAGGGGCGTGGTCACAAGCTCCCTCCCGGCGGTAGTCCTTGACCTGCGATGGCGGGTGCGTTCCCGTGAGCCACAGCGAAAGCGGAGCAAACCAATTAGCTAGCGAGCTCAAGGAACTACCCACGGAGACCGTTGAGATGTCGGTTCGGCCGGAGATGGCCCGAGCTGAGCTGGTCATGTGCGCACCGACGATGCGACGGCGCACGGTGGTGGCACGGCCGCGTTGGGGGAAGGCGGGGCTGCTGTAAAGCTACGACTGAGGTGCGCGGGGTGCTCAGGAGGGTAAGACTAGGCTGGTGGTGCGATTGAATCGCTACTGGGTACTCGGAATGGTTGGCTAGCCGACGGTGCGTGTCCGTCCGGTCTTATGGACCCGGTGGGGCGGCGTTTACAAATTGAAGTTCTGTGCAACGGTACACGTAGCAAGGTGGGGACGGTTGCGCGGCTAGCTGCCCAGCGGAGCCGAGGGTGTGACGAATTGGAGTATAGTGCTGCGGTCACGGCGAATTGAAGGAAAGGGGGGGGGATCCCGCCGGCCATGGCGACAACGAGGACAAGGGAGCTCTGGCACGGCTTGGTTCGGCCCGGCTGTGGATGTCAACGCAAAATACAAGCACGCACAACTATAGGGGACAGCGGGGCGTGCTCCAGGCGACTGTCCGCATGGCCGAGCCCGCACGCCGACGAAACCCAGTACGGCGCCACAGCGGGCAGCGCTGGACAAGAGAAGCACAGCGCAACGTGACGTCGAGGTGATGGTGGCGTCCTCGATCGCACACATTTCATTGTCGCCTACGAAGTACATACTACCAACTCTATCAAGGTTTGCGTAGACGTTCTATAGCATTTTTGTTTGATAAAAATTTGGTTAGAATACTAAACCATATTATGTGACATGAAACGTAACATTGATTTCTTGTTTCGTATAAATGTTTCAAGTACCGAACATTAATTTATAATTCATGTTATACACATTTGCACATAAGTATGATGCTCATGCAGTGTTTTAACAAAAACAGCACAATGTAACATCGAGGGTGTTACAGTAGAGCTTCTGAAAAGTGTTTCTGTTAGCAAAAAGTATAAAACCAACCATACATGTGAAATCAGAAACTGTTTTTTTTTTCAAAAGCAGCTACTTTCGTGTAGTACAGTTTTGAAAGCATCGTGGACCCTGCTTTTGGCTTTACTTTTCGAAATGGGTGGGAATAGAGAACTGTTTCATAGCTATTTTAAGGGGGTAGTGAGGGAGTAGGTTTTATACTAGTTCAACCAAACAACTTATAGCTTCCCACAACACATAGCTCACAATAGCTTTTTTATAGCTCACAACAGTTTTTCCATAGCTCAAAACTCAACCAACAAAACTTTAGTATGTTCAACAAGCATCATAGTGCATTCATCATACGTCATGACTGATCTAAGGGGAGGTTGAACTGTTTTTATCTTAGATGAAGATGTAGCAGGAAGATGATTGAAGCTGATATCTTAGATCTTGTTGATAGCTCCCAACCGATCCACCTCAAAGCATGCAAGGGCATACTCCTGTTAGCATCTCAGACCCTTGTCCTCTGCTCTAACATCTTGTGAATCTCCTCATTAGTTGATCGACCAGGATTTGTGATGTTGCCCTGATTCTTTGGATCTATAGGACCATCATTCTTCGCATCTGCCATCACAATAGATTAATTTGCTTTCTTCCACAATAGAATCACCAGAACGTGTGTTCACATTAAATTCGACCAACACACTAGTTGGGGCTAGAGCATAAGGCTGCACGCAGCCTAGATACACAACAAAAATAGATATGAATGGTAAGAGCAACTCCAGTAAGACCCCTACTTAAGCCCTCATAGCTAAATATGGGGCTCAGGTAAAAAAAAAAAAGTGCTTCCGCAGGGCTCCTAATCAAGCCTCCAATTTAGAATGGGCACAAAAATCCACCCTATAGACCCTATTCCTGGAAGAATAGGGGCTCACCCCTGGCCCCATCCGCCCGTTTTCTCCCCGCGCTGTGTAGATTTACAACATGTTCGTTTGGTCGTATTTGGCTTATAAGCCACGGCTTATCAGCCAACGAACAGTATTTTTCTCTCACATCAAACCAGCCAACAGTACTTTCAGCCATGGCTTATAAACCAAATAAGCCCAAAAGAACAGGTGCCCTCTCGTCGCGCGAGCAGCCCCCTGCCATGGTCGTCGCGGGAGCAGCCCCTGCGCCTCCCTCCGTCGCGCCGTAGCAGCACGGCCGCGCCTCCCTCCGCCGCGCCGTAGCAGCATGACAGCACCACCCTCCGCTGCACGGGCGCGCTTCCCCAGCCTCAGCCATGGTCGTCCGCCTCCCTTGCTATGGACGTCCACCTCCCCTGCCATGGCCGTCGCAGCCCCGGCTGGTCGTGCCACCCTCCGCCCTCCACCACGCCGGAGTAACACGGCCGCGCCTCCCTCCGTCGCGCGGGCGGGCTTCCCCAGCCGCTCGGGCGCACTGCCCAGACGCGTGGGCGCCTCCCACCGCCGCGCCGATGAAATTTGCGTGTGAAGGATGGGGAAGAAAGGTGTAACTCAATGACGTGTGGGTACCTCGTGTCATTGTGTGCTGATATGGATTTGAGGGCCTTGATTTGGATGCTGGAGTGGAATGAATTTATTGGGCCAACAAAAGTAGTGAGGGCGGCACCTAAATCTAAAGCAGGAGCCCCGGTTTGGGTGCCCATGCTATAGTTGCTCGGCCCACCAACAGGTCAACGAGGTCCAATTTGACGTAGTTTTGTATTGGAAAAAAATCCACGAATGCTTTCTAGGAATGTCCGTCAGGGAGACACAACAGGATTATCCTACAGTTGTCAAGGTCACCTACAACGCTAGCAAATCCAGTTGAGAGAAGTGTTGGATAGTAGAGAGGTTGGAAAAGGTAGAGTTTAGATGTAAACATAAAGGTAGAGGTGTTTTTTTATGATTAAATAGATTGATCTCTCAAGCGGCTGTGGTCGTCTTGTATAAATAGGAGTGGTCTTATCCCTATGAGATCGGTTCGGAAAAACACAACACAGGCCGATTTTTTTAAGGGAGATTGTAAACTTGCCCAATTTTATCCAAATTCGACTTTTTTTTGTTTCCACATGACTTTCCGGTCCATCTTCGAGTCTTTTAACCTCATTTTGGCTGTTAACAACAATAAAATATTGTCTAAAACTGAAATCAATATACTCCGTGATCATTCTGTGCGCAATAAGTCTACGTTTTTCTTGCTGTCCTGCGCCAACATTTTCTCTTTAGCAGGTGTCATCTGATCATCTGTATGTGGAGATTTCATCAGTGGTAGGTTCTCCTTTCCTCGCCATTCCGCCATTCTCACTTCTGTTAGCGCGGCCTGTAATAGTTACACCCAGTTTCATACATAGTTTTTCAAAACACACATTCACCAGGTAGAATTTTTTTAAACAGGGTTTCCTCAAAATGAAATTTTTAACAGGGAGTAAATGTAGTACCTGTTTATCCCAGTTTGTTGTGAGGATAACGGTAAGAAGTATAGCCATTTGGAGAAACGTGCCTGCCAACATGCCCATCCATATGCCCTGCAAAGTTGAATATTCCACAGAGCACAAAGAAATGAATACGAACATTGCTGCAGCTGATCAAACAGCATTGTGGTTAATTCTGAAATAGATACTTATTTTTAACTGAATGTTAGCTTACCATTGTGCCATGTTTTAGCTTGATGCCGAACAGGATACCCATTGGAATGCCCACTAAGTAGAAGCAACCGATGTTTATGAATGCCACAGACACTTGCCACCCTGCTCCCACTGCAACGCCTGAAAAAATACACACTGGACTTTCATATACGTACATCAATTTGCAGGGAACTGTGTCTAATTTAGAACAAAAACGAAATAAAATTTATTGACACCTGCCATGCATGTGAAGCGGTACTACCTGATAGTACAGGACAGATGCTAATCATGCATACGGTCAGAGCGAGAAGAAGCCCCAATTTGGAAGCTCCATGTATCACCTCCTCGCTGTCGCTGAAAAGCTTCGGTAAGCTTGTCCTCCAAACGAGGACGAGGCCCATGAAGATTGCTCCCATGAACATTGACATTGATACTGCCACAAGCACTGCAAACTTTGTCTCCATGGGCCTCTTTGCACCCAGCTCGTTGGACACCCGAATGCTAGAGGGTCCACAACATTTTTGTTATTCAATAGTGTAGCATGTCAATAATGTATTTGAACTTAATAAAATCAAATGTGGCATATATTAATTGGATCTATTCTTGCATACCCGACTGCTGTGCTGAATCCCATTGCAACCAGTATTGCCATGAACTCATAGTTGAGGCTGCAGTTTTTTTTTGGTCACACGAAGACGTTGAAATCAAATTTATAAATTATTTTATATAAGCCATCATTGGTATCTTCAACAGATTTATGATGTATAATTGAAAAAAAACACTCACCAGACAGACATGATATCAAGTTGAAGTTTGGCATGTTTGAGGAGACCCACGAGAATTAGAAGTGTTGTGTTGTACCAAAACTCCAAGCTATGTAATGCATGCACAACAGACGGTAATGGTTGATTATAGTACTAGAGAAAAACATGAAAAGTAACCATTTCCAACAGAGCACAACAGACAAAACAAGGAAAAGATGTAAAATCTAGAAAGACGCAAGCCGGCAAAGACCACAACTACTATATACTACACAAACAATTTTCAGAGGCACCAGTTTTTCCAGAGGTGGTTCTATTACAAGACAGACCCAGCTATGTTTTTTGAAAGATCTGGATTGATTACCGGCATATATTAATAATAAGCAGAAATTGGACAAGCGCAAACTGGCCAACATATCCTTTAGGTGGCAGACGGCCACCTTAGGTTTGAAGGAAATAAAAAACTGCCGATTACATATTACTTGAAATTACTACTACTAGTGGCGTTAGTAAGTTTTGCCCCAGCCAAAGACCATAGGAGAGCTTCATCATGTATTTCCGCTAGCCTAGACTGTGGAGTTTCAAAATTTGCTTGAAAATCCTCTCATTTCTTTGCTTCCATAGTATCCAGATCACCAATACTTCTAGGATGTGCGCTTGTTTGCTCCCTTCCTGTAACCATTTCAACAAACCAATTGATTATGTTTGGGTTCAGATTTGGGTTGTTGGTCCACATGCTGATTTGGGTTGTTGCTCCACAATCTATGATCTTTTACTGGCAAGCTGTCTTGGTTGTACACAGTAGATTTTTTTTGTGCTACCTGTTCCCATTAAGTGTTAACGCACTTTTGAAAATCGATTTACAGAGTCTGTTACATAACGTGACAGAAGCTGAACAATTTATGAAGTAGCGCACGTGTATCAACGGGGAAGTACTAACCAGATCATGACGGCCGATCCAAGCGACAGCTTGACGAAAGCACCGATGTTGTTGAACGCATGCATAGTGAACCCCTTCCATGTGTCGGGGAAGCGGCCGCTGGTCAAGTACGTGAATTGCGCCGCGACAATAAGCCACTGCGAGATGTCGCCGGCAACGGCCACCCCGGGTACCCGAGCTGCCTCACGGCGATGTATGTGAGCATGGCATGCACGGAGAGGGCCACGCCGGAGATGGCCGCCAAAGTCCAGACCCTGCTCTGGGCCCGGAAGAACATGAGGAGCGGGATGTCCATGGCGTGGGCGAACAGTCTCGGGATTGCCCACCTGGCGTACTGCCTGGTGGCGCGCGACACATCGACTGGCTGGTGGAGGAACAACCGTAGGATCGGCGTGGCGAAGATGTACGCCGGTGCAAGCGCCAGTGCGATGGCACCGCAGATGATCAATGACTGCTGCGTGTAGGTGCCCAGCATGTCCAGCTGCCCAGCGCCGACGGCCTGCCCGATCAGCGTGTTCAGTGCGCTGCCCATGCCAAACTACATGCATATGTTGCATATTAGCATGCAAGTGGAAATCAATAGGGAACACAATGCAATTCCATTGCTTACAGCGGAGAACTCACCAGGAGTCCATAGGCAGATGTATCCAAGATGTTCTCGGCGACGGTGACCGCTGCGAGTTCCACCTCTCCGAGGTGCCCAACAAAGGCGGTGGTGACAAATTCGATGGAGAACTGAAACATCTCCGCGAGGAGCACGGGGAAGGCAAGGCTCCACAGCAGCCTTGATTCCTCCCAGCTCCGGCTCACAAGCCTCTTCATGATAAGCAGCCCATTTGATTTTTTGCTCATGCTGAAGCTCAATCATGCTTGGACTCGATGTCATGGGCATATCTATCTATTCTATAAATCTATCTATCTATTCTATAAATCTATCTATCTATATCTATCTATCTATATCTATAACGAGCATTGACTTATGCCGCTACACGAGCCTGTGCCGCTCGTCGCCGACGTCTCTCGCCTATCTGGCGGCGCCTGCCCGAACTCATCTGCATCCCCCTTCTCCAACGCCTCCTACTCCTCACGCAGCAAAGAGCCAGTGACCCTCTCCCTCCCTACACCAACGATGGGGGCAAATCCCGCACATCCCATGGCTCTCTCCCAGATCTCACGACGGCATGAGGCGGGCCCACGGTGGGGAGCGGCGCTAAATCACATGCGGCAGGTCCCACAGGCAAGATCCTTCCTCTGGTGAGAGAGCCCACGGTGGGGAACAGCGCTAAAACAATTCGACTCTAACAGGATCATATTTTTTTTTGAAACATCTTTTTGAATATATATGAGCTGCAAATAATTCAACAAGCAGTATCCCAATTTTATTTTGGCAGATGATTATATGTGCTGGCAGCAATGAGAGCAATAGCGAGAGGCGGCAACTTCAAATGTGATATTGATGAGATCTAATCTATTAACAAATAACGAGACACCTACTGTAGTAGAGTGTTACAGCATACATAGTGCAATATGAACAATTGTAGATTGGGAACCATAAGAGAAGCAATTTAACTGCCAATAGATTTTTCAGTGGCTTAATTAATTTGAAACACAAACTTGGTTTGAAAAGCATGCATACCTTTCAAACTTAAACAAAGCAGAAGGATGGGAACTACATACAGTCCAATATCTATTGATAACCTAAGCAGAAATGGACCCTATTTATATGCAATGATATTGATTTGCATTAGAAGTTCACTATCTAGTTGAAACATGTGTTGATTCGCAAAGGTGCAGACAATTTTTTGGATAGGTGGCTAGTTAATTTTGCCTACATAAAACATTTCAAGTAGCACATGCCATTTCTTTGGAGTACACATGAATGCAAGACACAAGAAGCACTTGGAACCAAACAAATTGGAGAAGAACCTTCCCAGATTAAACAAAGTACGTTAGTGTACAACAGAAGGGGATTAAGGATGTGCATGGACATTGGACAAATTCGTCTTGCTATATTGAAGGGACATATTGCTTTCCTGCTTGCCTCACTCAACTAGGCGCTTCTGATTGATCTACTGGTATACTTATCTTGATGTCTGCGGAGATTAATGGGGAAGCAAAGTAGTGTTAATTTCTACAGGGATCCGCAGAGGGATTGAAGTCCCAAGCGCCCATCAAGAACCGTGATCGCTTACCTGTTCAGTGGAGCACTGGAGCTCCATCCACCACACAACACAGAAGGGGATCTCAAATCTATTCTTCTTCTTCCATGGGGTTTGAGCCTTATCCTTGTATCTCAAATCGATTCATCTTCTTCCACCAGGGGTTGTCACATGCTCACCTGGTGCACGATCAGATGTGGAGGAGTGGAGGATAGCAGACATCGCACGCGCCGGCCACGGTCTCGTGGTAGAGAAGGTCCACGCGCGGGCGGCCGAGGGCGTCGGCCACCTTCCCGCCGGCACCGAGGCCACAGGTGCCGTACCGCGGGGGCGAGTGAGGTGGGCGAGCGTTGCCGGAGGCAGTTGCCAGCGTTCTGCGGCGGGCGGGCGAGCGTCGCGAGGAGGAGCTGAGCCCAGGCTGCGAGATGGTGGATAAGGGCGGGGCGGGGCAGCGGTGGCGCGGCGGGTGCGGGACGAGAGCGCTCGGAGGGGGCGCAGGGAAGTCTGCGGGGGAATGGGAGAGGCACGCTGAATCTTCGGCATGTTCGTTTGGCCCTTTTTTTTTTTCCTTATAAGCCATCAAAAAGATACCGTTGGTTGGTTTGGTACGAGACAAAAATATTATTCGTTGACTGATTTTTCGTGAGTCTTTATCCTCTGTCCCTTCTTCTCCCTCAGCAGCTAAACATGAAATGGATCTTTCTCCCTCCCTTCTTTTCACGTCAGAAGAATAATAGTAAGCTATAGTTTTGGTTAGTATTTGGATTGATTCGAGACTTGTCAAAGTCTTACATTTGACTTGCTAAATCTATGACATTTTTTTATCCAACTTTTGATTTGCCAAATCTTTGGCATGGTAAAATTTGGAAAGTGAACCAAGCAGATTCCATCTCTTTTTGTTAAAAAATAATTTAAAGGAATAGAGAGTTTTGCACCATAACTACATAATCTAGCAAACTCATATTAAACTAGTTTTTCGGGCGCGCCCATGCGCGCGGTCCACTGGCCACACGTATTATTTGGAGAAAAAAAAGATATAAT